GTTGGGTTGTTTTTTGGGTTTTGGGTTTTGGTTGTGTTTGGTTCTGTGTTTTTTTTGTTTGCTCCCCTTACCAATATGCAGAGTTTCCATCCTTCTCATGATGAACCTGGGCACACCGCCCACATGGCGTCCGTACTCGTGCAAAAAAAATCCCCCCCAACTGTTGCTTTCACCGCTCTGCTGATCTTCTGCCTGTGGGTTTTTGGTTTTCCTCGGGGTGGTGCTCCGTTTTGGCTGCGGGTGCTCCTCCTGCTAGGTTTCCGTTAACCCACATCTGGGGGGGCTTGGCTAGCTTTTGCTCGCTTTGCCCGTCTACCTTTGCCTCGGCCTTAACGGCCCTAGTGAGTTTTGCCCGCTCTTTTGTGTGTGGCGTTGTACGCGCACGTTTTACCCTGTTTCGGTTCTTCTCGCTTCGTTGGAGGAGTTTGTGGCGCTATGCCCATTTTGGGCGATCAGCATTTACCACGATTTGCCCATCTGTGTCCATTTTCGTTTCCTGCATTCAGCGGACGTGTGCGCAAGTGGGAGATAGCAGGACATGTGGAGGTCTTGATAGCAGAGATCGGAGGAAAAAAAAATGAGAACAAGGAAGGAAGAAAGAAATAAAAACAGAAAGAACAGATAAGAAAATACACAAAAGGAAGAAAAACATATAGATAGATAGATAGATAGATAGACAGACAGACAGACAGACGGCAGGGCATAGATAGAGATTGTTCGTCAGGTGGAGGGTGATGGCATGACAGCAAAGACCCCCACATGGCCCCATGGGCAGACAATGGTAGACATCCCAGAGCGGTTCTGCTGTGCAACTCTTCAGCTTTGGTGTAGCTTCTTGTTACTACTAGTAAAGCCCTTGTTCCTAGAAGCGATGCCAGGAGCCCCTAGTAGCTTCTTGACTGTTGACCTGCCCTCCCAACTTCTTTCAATTCAAGCGGCGGCCTTTGCTTTTTGTCGTCAGTTGGGCGCAATCCGCCTGCCAAGCACGATCAGGTTATATAACAGCACGGTATGCGTTTTTTGAGTGCCCCCGCCTCCGGGAAATCGTTATGGATGACACTAGCGTGAACATTCCTCCTTCCTATCAACAATAACAAAATAGTGTTCACAGCCTTGTAGCGGCACAAATAAAAATAGAGTTGCACAATTGAGAGCATGCGTCCTAGGGAAGGCACACGCTAGCTCCATCTCTGACCCCGACTGCCCTAAGACATAGGGAGAATCTATTTGTGCTCGCCCTTGTTGCTTGTCCTTTATCTATTGGTATTTTTCTGTCCATCTGGCTTGGTCAGGAGGGCACTCAGCGAGGTAAGGTCTAATGCTGATCATTTGTGTCCCCTGTGTACCCCTAGAGGTTGAAAGAAACGCAACACAAGCACTTCCAATTCGATTCCCCTGTACACCCTACGGCGGCAGGGATGGAAGCCACCTGACATGACAAGATCTAACTTGTACCGGGTCTGGTGGTTAAGCGATGAGCACGAGGTCTCACGCAAAATGCCTTTTCTTGATGAGACCTGGTGATGTCAAAATGTTTTTTGTTCTGTTTCGTAGCCTTCTGGGTGCTGTCCAAAGCTGAATCATCCAGTCGCTGGGTTGAGTCTCCTGGTTGGAGGGAACGACAGGATCTGCATTTTCCCTACTCTACATTCACACCTGCATCGGGACACCCAGTTTTCAGAGGCCCTAGTTCTGGTCGTTAGTTCGACTGGTGTCCAACAGCGTTAGTTGCCCACGGACATGCACCCTGATAGATTGTGTGCAGTTTGAAGTAAAACATGTACTTGTCATACACTAGCTGTGAATTTACATGAATGCACATGCTCTAAATAGGCGCGGTGGTCGGAGGGGCACGTGACGGAGCGAAGGAAGGAGTGTTCCGACGAGGGGAACCAGCCGAGCTGCTCGGCATTCGCACGCTCAAACCCAACAGCGTTAGGAAAATCATGCGAACACCAACACCAACCCGGTAACTCCACTCCACTGTACAACCAAACAATTCTCATCGGGAACTCCCAAGTGTCTCATCTGATCACATGCGATGCAGCCATGGTCACTGCTTGAAGCAGTCATCTTCGATTCTGCGTATCATGTGGATTCGCTGCCTCCCTCAGCAAGCCAAAAGAAGTGAAATTAACAAAACATCTCATAGTTGTGCTTGGGAACCCTCCTGATATGGTCTTTGTTGGTTCTAGATGTTTATTTTTGTTTTTTCTCAGCGCACCTGGTTTATCAGCAACGGGGAGCCGTAACAAACCAGATGTCCTTCGCTGCCGGCTAGGCGGCTGACCCCCAACAGCAGGTGATTACAAGGAACCATGATGAACCAGCGGCTATACCACCATTACAAGTAGTTCCCGGGCAAGCTGGCGCGGAAGTTTCCTATAAGAACACATTGACCTATAGGAGTGTCCCGGTTCTTTCCACCATGCATGTCCCTCGTGTCCCTCAGTCAGAGCTGCTAGAGCTAACTGGAGCTAGAGCTATTGAAACTAGAGCTAACTGGAGCTAGAGCTATTGAAACTAGAGCAAATGATGATGATGATGATGATGAGTGATGAGTGATGAGTGAGCTAACTGGAGCTAGACGCTAACTATGATGTGATAGCTTGCCTAGACACGAAGCTAATTAGCTCAAATTTGTCAACCTCTCAGAACACGTGTTTTGAGGTCTCCAGAAAGTAATCGAAATGAGCACTTTTGAGTAAGCAAAGTAGCTAAAATTTGTCAACCTCTCAAGAGAGCCGGGTGGTCGGGAGACATGACTCAGCTGCAGGGGCGCCAGAGCAGCCGCGAGAGATGACTCAGCTGCGAGAGATGACTCGTCCGCGTACTAAAGTTGTACTACAAAGTCGCCAGTTCTCAGCTTCCAGCTCCACAGATTGCTCCGCGTACTAAAGTTGTACTACAAAGTCGCCAGTTCTCTTCTTCCAGCTCCCTAGATACTCCGCGTACTAAAGTTGTACTACAAAGTCCCCAGTTCTCAGCTTCCAGCTCCACAGATTGCTCCGAGTACTTAAGTTTTACTAGAAAGTTGCCAGTTCTCATCTTCTAGCTCCCCAGATACTCCGCGTACTAAAGTTGTACTACAAAGTCGCCAGTTCTCATCTTCCAGCTCCCCAGATACTCCGCGTACTAAAGTTGCACTACAAAGTCCCAAGTTCTCAGCTTCCAGCTCCACAGATTGCTCCGCGGACTAAAGTTGTACTACAAAGTCGCCAGTTCTCATCTTCCAGCTCCCCAGATACTCCGCGTACTAAAGTTGCACTACAAAGTCCCCAGTTCTCAGCTTCCAGCTCCACAGATTGCTCCGCGCACTAAAGTTGTACTACAAAGTCGCCAGTTCCCCAGATACTCCGCGTACTAAAGTTGTACTACAAAGTCGCCAGTTCTCTTTTTCCAGCTCCCCAGATACTCCGCGTACTAGAGTTGTACTAGAAAGTCGCCAGTTTTCAGCTTCCAGCTCCACAGATTGCTCCGCGTACTAAAGTTGTACTAGAAAGTCGCCAGTTCTCATCTTCCAGCTCCCCAGATACTCCGCGTACTAAAGTTGTACTACAAAGTCGCCAGTTCTCATCTTCCAGCTCCGCAAATACTCCGTGTACTAAAGTTGTACTACAACGTCGCCAGTTCTCAGCTGCCACAAATGCTGTGCCTGCCACGAAATCTGCACATGGAGGTTCACAAAGTGCTGTGCCTGCCATGAACTCTGCGCATGGAGGTTCACAAAGTGCTGTGCCTGCCACGAACTCTGCACATGGAGGTTCACAAAGTGATGTGCCTGCCACGAAATCTGCGCATGGAGGTTCACAAAGTGCTGTGCCTGCCACAAACTGTGCACATGGAGGTTCACAAAGTGCTGTGCCTGCCACGAAATCTGCGCATTGAGGTTCACAAAGTGCTGCGCCTGCCACGAAATCTGCGCATTCAGGTTCACAAAGTGCTTCGCCTGCCACCAAATCGGCAACACCTGACAACGCCGCGAACACCTGAAACCACTGTGCCACTGCGGAACCGATCCGACCATGATCCGACCATGATCCGACCATGGCGGGAGACCGTCCGGCAACCGTCGTTCCCCCTGAGTTTCCCCATCGAGGTTCGGAGAAGCATGTCGCACGCAAAAACACAGCATTTCGTGCGTCTGCTATCTTTCAAAAACGCATTTCGTACGAGACTTCCTTCAAAAATGCAAGTTGCAGATGTGTGAAGTGCTGTGCCTGCCACGGCCACGACATCGGCGCATCGAGGTTCACAAAGTGCTGTGCCTGCCACGACATCTGCGCATGGAGGTTTGTGCCTGCCACGAAATCTGCACTTTGATGTTCACAAAGTGCTGCGCCTGCCACGAAAAATGCAAGCTGCACATGTGTGAAACGAAGCAATGCTGCGAGACTTCCTTCCAAAATGCAACTTGCAAAGGTATGAGCCGAAGCATTTCCGCGACACTTCCATGCAACTTGCAGACAATGGTAGAACAATGAACTGGAGCCACAGATCAGTGGTAGAACCATGACCTAGAGCCACAAATCAATGATAGAACAATTAACTAGAGCTAGAGATCAATGGTCGAACAATTAAGTAGAGCTAGAGATCAATGGTAGAACAGTGAAGAAGAGCTAGAGATCAGTGGTAGAACAATTAACTATATAGAATTACAGCTAATGTACATGTTCGTAACACCGAAGTTCCTCTAAACTTCCTTTGATTAGCAGTGATTGACCATACCGTATAACATCATATAATGAGTAGAGTTTGCAGTGTAGATCATAGACACTTTTCACCCTGACGCAGCCCATTGTTGACAATTAAATAACTAACCATTATTAACAATCCACTATTTTTTTTTTTGAACCATTCCTGGCCATCAATGAACACTTGCGTGTCAGCGCCACAGGCAAGGCGGCGTGCCATGTCTGACCATTTCCGCAGGCCAGCGGAGGACAGCAGGGATGTCTCATGGTGGTTATCCAATGAGTTTTGAGATAAGTCAAGTACTGTCATCATCCATGGTTGAGAACACAGTAGTAGATCCTAGATGATACTAGTAGATATTCGTAGATGCTAGTAGATACCAGTAATCGTTTGTCTCAGGATTTGTGGATGAAACCCAGTGGCCCAGTGGGTAGGTCTTTCTGCTGACATGTTTTTCATTGTTTTGCACCTGCCATTCTCGAAGATTTGGCTCAGACCCCCATTCTTAGCTGCTCGCCGGAGTTACAAGCTTTGGTTGTTGGAAAAGACCCTTTGGAGTCCTTTTTCCATGAGTACCAGAGTTGCTATCATCGGAGCTGGCCCAGCAGGCTTGGTGCTTGCGGCCACCTTGGCCAAGAAATCTTCGGCATTTTCCGTGAAAGTGTTCGAACAAGGTGCTGATCACAAAGCTGCTGCGAGCTACGATCCGAACCGATCCTACACAATTGACATCACTGGTCATGGTGCTTTGGCAGTGGAGGCTCTTGGTGCCACCGAGCTCTTCGACGAAAAGCTCATTAAGTTCAAAGGTCTCCGAATTCTCATCACTGGTGAAGATCATTGGTTTGATGGCAATGGTTGGACCGGGTCACGGGGAGACATTTGCAAAACCTTGCTTGGTGTCATCGATGAAGCGGCTTCTCCGAACGTAGAAGTGCTGTTTGACACCACGGCCGAGGTGTTAGACATGATGAAAGGCACTGTGCAGACCACTTCAAAGGCCGGAGAACGTGCGGTCCACGAGTTTGACGTTGTGGTTGGGGCAGATGGAGCAGGAAGCAAACTGCGTGGTGTCATGTCCAAACTTCCAAGTTTTGCCATGAGCTCTATCAACATGGAGAACTACAGCATCATGCTCCACATGGATCAAAACACTTCCGAACTTGATCCGGGGCTTCTGCACATTTTCGGCACCGACCCCTTCCTGGTTGCCGGTGCAATCAATGGCAACGGTGGAAAGTCTGATCCTTTGTGGTTTTGCCAGGTTGGCTTCAAAGGTCTCGACAAGGGAAAGTGGTTGCAAGAAGCTTCTTTGAAAGATCTGAAGACCAAGTTGAAGAAGAGTGGCTGGCCCAAGAGCACCGACCTCCTTCGCTACGTGAGTGACAAGTCGCTGCAGGAATTCCAGGCGCGAATGCCTCAGGCGACGGGCAAAGGAAAGATGGTTTCTCCGTGGTCCCATGGGCGTTGTGTGCTGGTGGGCGATGCCGGAGCTCCATTCCCACCCATTGGTCTCCTAGCTTCACCTAGCTTCGCCTGAAACCCATGTGAGCAGCGAAAAATGATTACTGTAGATATCTGTAGATTGATAAATAAGGATGATGCTAACAGCTCATAATGCTTCTCGCCAAGGTCAAGGGGTGAACTGCGGAATGCAAGGGGCCTTGGTTCTAGGCGAAGCGCTCGTGGAAGGACTTGCTCCCGGCTCTGGACCGTGTGAGGCGTCGGCTGAGAAATCCTTGGTTGTGGTGGTGTCGCCGAGGGGGTCATCACCAAGCCCTGAGCCCTATGGGGAACATAGCAGTTTCTTAAACATTGGGACCCCAAAATCGGCTAGTTGATGATCAACGGTGTATTTTGGGATGAGGGGGGACCTGATCTGCCAGGTGGCGGTGACCAAGGCATTTCAAGCCTTCACCGAAAAGTGGAAGCCAGAAGCTGATGCTGTCACCGACATTTCTGCTTTGACGGATGTGGGCAAGTTCACGAATCCGCTAGAAGTTGCCAAAACACTTGTTCTCACAAAGATCAAGTGCGGGGGAGTGCAGCTGGCAAAAGATGCCACTGTCACATATCAAGAGGCTTTGGCAGCGCACAAATCTGGTGTCAGGATGCTTTGGCTCTTCGGCTTGCCCACTCTCGTGTCCGCTGGAGCAGTCATGATATACCTGGCCCGCGAAGTCTCTTTAGCCGCCTTTGGGCTGCGACTCATTCAATGACTTGCATTCAATGACTTGCATTCAATGACTTGCATTCAATGACTTGCATCTGGTTGCAGAGAGCAAGATCTGTCTTATATACATGGGCACTGCATAGGCTCTGCTCCTTGACCTCAGATGGTCTAAGATGATCTGCGGCCAAAAATCCTTTGTGAGGCATCGCTGGGCCATCTGGCGTTCAAGCAATAAGAACTTAACTTACTTCAACAAAAGATCTTGCTGTTCTCCCTTCATTTGAAGTGGCAAATTCCAGAGTAACGCTGAAACCATGTCTCACCATTTCCGCAGGCCAGCGGAGGCGAGCAGGCAGGGATGTCTCATGGTGGTTGAGCATCCAATGAGTTTTGAGATAAGTCAAGTACTGCCATCATCCATGGTTGATAACACACTAGTAGATACAGGGTCTTCTCCATTTCTTTCCTGGCATATCAGACTGCCAGTGGCTTGCCTCAACAGAAACAACATCTTCGTGTCGGGTCGGGTCCAAATTGAGGGAGAGTTCACGTGCCCAAGTGGCAGCGGTGTTGGGCGGTGTCGTGTCCCCTGGCCAACCTGCTAGGCAGATGCTGGTACGCTGTCCTTGAAGCGTGTGACATGTCGAGCAGAACCCTTGCGTTTTGAGGTTCTTTCGTGTGAGTGGACACAAGCGCTAGGCCCTAGCCGCTAGCGTTTTGAGTTCCAAGAATAACTTCTTTTCTTGTCGCTTTGCAGGCAAGTTTCCTCTTTTCTGCTTTTCTAGATCTCGCGAAGTGGCAGCGTGCAACAGCACTAATTTATGAAGGTCATTCGATCCGAGAGCGTTGTTTGAACTGTAAATTGTTTCTGACTTGATGCACACTTTGAGAAAGAACGAGTTCTATGTGAGGAGGCTGCATTGGCCAGAGCTCTCTGCATGTTTCAAGCGTGAACATGTGCAGGCTGCGCAGGTTGCCACAAATTCTCGTCCTTTTTGGGCTTTTCCGGATCCAGCCCATTGATCGCGATGATGGGAAGATCCTTTTTCGATCTCCGACAAACTTCAAGGCCGTGAGCCGAGAACCCTGGTCACGACAGCCCAAGAACGGTCACGACAGCCCGATCCACCGGTCGAATTGCGTCCGGTCGCGGCGTCCAAGCTTCGACGTCCCTCTCGCTACCTTTCGTTGAGCATCTCTTCTCACTCCACAGCAGGCGTATTGGCTACCATGAAGTTGCATCTCGCACAGAAGAAGGGGCACCGACCGTTGATGTCCCACACCAGACCGACCCTTGCATGTGGAAAAACCCGACACGTTCCGCCACGCTCCGCACGCACGTCCCGGTCTTGTTCAGTCCGAGTTCCCGCCACGACGTGCCGCGTGTTCGGCGCGAACGACGCGTTCGGTGCCACCGCCATGGCGCTCAGCTCCCCCGCGCGCCGGACGGCCCAAAGTGCGCCGGTGCGAGGCAGGATGGGGTGGCGGCCCCCGGCTCACCGGGCTGAGCCGGATGTGGAGTTCGGGCGCTGGTGTTGGGGGTCATGTTCTCAGTGGAGATCGGGCCCCTTCCAACGGAAGTGGAACTCCTGAGCCTTGGGTCCAAATAGCTCCGAGACTCCGCATGGCATATATGGCATGCCTTGGGGTATCTTAGCCCTAGGCTTCCAAGACCATTTAAGCAATGGTTGACCTGGTTCGGGACCTTTAGTAAAACAATGGTGGTTCGGTAAAGCCTATTAAATCGATCAATGGTGGTTGGAATCCTAGGGTTAGGGTATGACCTGCCTCTTCACAAAGTTCTGAAACCAAGTTGAGCCTTGATCAGTCCGAAGCAGCCTTTGCCAGGTGCTCCCAAGGCCAAGCCCAAAGCCAAAGGACTCGTGAGGCCCAAGGCGGGCGCCCGGTCAGTGGGGTTTTCGCAGCAGTCGACCCAGTGCTTCGGGGGTCGGTCGGGTGGGGTTTCTCGGTTGAGCGATTGGGAAGCTCTTTCCAACGGGGCCTGACTGTCAAGTCAAGGTCAAGGACTGCTCTTGAGCAGGGCTGGCGCAGGGTTGGCAGGTTGGCAGATGCACCCTCGAGGAAGAAGGTATTGGTCCTTTCTTTCAAGGCAATATGGAAACTTCTGAGTCCTAGGCCATGCACGGAAGAGCGATTGTTTTGGGGCTCCCCTTCTGCTCCATTGAGGTGGATTGATGGAGCTTGATTCAGAACCTTCTGGAGCTTCAGAACCAACAACTTCAGATCTGGCTTGAACAGACATAAATTTGGTAAACATCCAATGCGTAGCCTGACTATCGGATTGAAAACCCGATTCCTCTTTAGAAGTCCAGAGATCTCTCCATTTTCTCTCTTTCCAGAAATCCATGAAGACGGAGTCACACCCGCACGTTACAGTTGTTTTCTCGCAGATGCGCCCCTCAAAGTTCTCCGAAATCGAAGTCCACGGAGCTTTCCGTGGCCCGACTCCACACGCCCGGCAGCCCATGAACTCATGCGATCAGCCGCACACTGCCAGTCTTGGACAGGGAGGGGCAGTTTGGGAGATTGACCATGGGAGCAGTTGAACGGCCAGTGGGAAGAAGCAGGCCTTTGATCGCTTGTGGCCTTGGAACCGGCTCAGATCACTTGTGGCCTGGATCTCCTGCCCCTCGCAACGGACCCGCAGCCCACCCAGCCCCCACCCGAGCGGCGCGAAAACAAACACACAGAAACCCTTCGGAACGTCTGTCCGACGTGACTCGTTCTCGTCATCCGATGAGTCCCGAACAGTGGCCGATTGGGCCCGTGACTCTCTTGCTGAAGCGTTTCGCCAGATCACGAGAGCCTCGAGCGACTCTCTCGCGCGCGCCGCGCGCCGCGCCAGGCGCGCGCCAGCTCCAGCCTCTCGGGCTCGCGCCGCGTTTCCGTGGCCACCCAGACGGAGCTGCGCTTGCCGCCGCTCGGTGACCGGGGGGCGAAGCTCGGGGTCGGAGGGATCTTCCCGAGCCAGGCAGTGGAGCTGGTTGAGATGAATGACTTCTAGACGCAGGACATCCCAGTACCCCAGTCAGACATCTGGAAGAACCTTTTGGGTGTAAAGGAGGTCACCTGAAGTCAGTCCCACAAGGTCGCTAGGGGCCGTCCAGCCGCGGCCGAACAAAACATTCCAGGCCTCATGGGAAACGGGAGGCGTTTCGTCCCACAAAGCGAGTCACAAAAATCACCCAGTGACATGGAGTTAGGTGGGTTTTTAGTTCCATCCAGGCGCCGTGGATGTGACAGGGGCACCTCTATCCTCCAGGTGCCAAGAGTCACTTGGAGTTGAGTGTTGTTTTTGGTCCCATCCAGGGGCTCCCCTGGATGTGACAGGGGCACCTTGACTTGCTCCACCCTCCGTTCGTTCGGGTGCTCGGCACCCGGAGCTCTGTCCTCAGCGGTCCCTCCTCAGCTCAGGTCGACGTCCCTTCGCTCGGTCATGCGCTCGGGCAAGAGTGTGTGCTCGGAGCTGGAGGACGGAAGCCCCATGCCACTGAACCTCGTAGCGGTCAACAAGACAGAGTCAGGCGCTGCGGTGTGCCACCGCTTTTCGGGCGAAGCGGGTGTCCGGGAGCGAGCGCTTGGGGCGAGGAGCCTGTGGAAGCGTCACTTATGAAGGTTCGATCGCCTTCAACCTCTCCATGTAGGGGAAGTGGAGGCTGGTGCAAAGCCTGGAAACTCCAGTTGCAAGGAAGCCCATGAAGTGCCTTCTGCTCCAAACAGGCTATAGTTATAATATGGCATTTGACGAGTTCTCTTTCACCAGCCCCTCACTCCACGTATTCCATGGTGTTGGTGCAATGACCTCTGGATTGCTCTGCTTCTTACATTATTAACAATTAGAGAGCAATGTACATCTTTTCGAGATGCAGACTTAGGGCAGTCAACTGATTTGGGGTCCACCGGGAGTGCAACTGACTGAAACAAACACCGAGTCCTTCGCGCCACTCTTCCACTGGTCCACACGCCTTCCACCCACCGCGCCACACGCCTTCCGAGCCCGTCCGCAGGTGGCAGCGGCATGAGCGGAGAGGCCTCCGATGATCCGCACACCCCAGTGCGGCGCCACAGCTGGGAGCTGAGTTCCCTGGATCCTTCCACGTGGCCGGTCTTCGGCATCACCAACGCCTCTTTTCAGCCAACGTCGGAGGTGGGAGGTGGTGTTCTTTTTGGGGGGGCCGCAGTAGGGACCAGAGGGTGTTATGGGACGGATGGAATGGCAGGCTTCGCAGGTTGAAGTGGGTGAACTAGGGCCTAGGGGAACATTTGGGATTTGAATCTGGATTACGACCTTCACAGCGAGTAGTTCTTGCTGCTCAAGATCCTTTTCGAACGGTCGCAAAAAACCCTAGTGACCTCGATTTATTCATTCATGTTTTTATTATCTTTACACCTTTTCCCACTTTCATGCGTTGGTAAGATAGAATATTGATGAAGTGACATAAAGGGGTGAATCATATAAAGAGAAATAGCTAAGGCTAAGACCATATGAAATTCCAGCCTATTTTAAAGGGTGACCATCCTGTCCAGTTCTGGACGCCATCTTAGACGGTGTCTTCAAAAAGCTCAAGCGCTGATTGAGCACATGTGCGTTTCCACGCCGTGCACGTGCGTGGCACTGAGGATGGCTTCGGGATCACCACCAAGGAGGGTCAGCTGGACGTGGAGAAATCCGCCTCCTTCGGCTTCGATCGACCCTTTGATCCGGCAAAGCTGGAGTCCATCTTGGAAGGCAGCACCTCGGAGGTCGCAGCGCCGGCGGCAGTGCGTGGGCGATGGAGTTTGCCTGGAGTGTTCTCACTGAATGCCATGTCCTTTTCACCCTTTTCACCGGGGGGGGGCTTGGGTTTTAACCGATGTCTCCGTCCGAGATCTCGGTTCCCAAGGTATGCCAGCGGACGCCTCCTTTGGGATGGGCGAGATTCGGTACCTTTGGCTGCTTTGGGCGTGTGGCGGGGGTGACCTGGGCGAGTCTGCCCATGGCCGGCCCTGATGGAAGATCGTTGTGTGTCCAGTTCTTCTGGCAGATGTTGAGATCTTCATGGAAATTTCAGCTAAAGTTTGAAGATCTCGAGATGTTTTGGGACATATCGCCCTTCTTGGGGGAGTTGGGCAAAGATGAACACCGCTTTGGGCCATGCATCTATTGATCTCAGCCAGAAGGCCTGCGATGAATAGAGTCTCAGTTGAAGTGACATCTCAAGAAATCTGATTCTGTGCTTTGCGAATTGAGCAAGGCTTGGTATGTTGAGAAGTCTCAATCATTGGATATCGCAGGATACTTTGGGAGGAAATCAGTGATGAGGGTCAAGGATCAAGCACTTCGACGTCGATTTATCTTCAGAGGCATTTTCTCTTGTAGGTGATAGGCACCAAGCCTTCTTCCAAGCACCTTGTATCACCTGGTCCAGCATCTATATATTACTTATCCTTTCATTGTCCACCTTGATCCGTAAGGCCGTGAAGATGGTTAGGCTTTGAGACACAAATCATTTGAAACGATGCTCACCATGGCCCATGTTCATAGGAACTGGAACTGGGCTTGTCTGGAATTGCGGGTGCCATCCACTTTCGATTTGTGTCATGTGTCAATCCACTTTTCCTTTGAACTTGACCAGAAGTCGTGGAAGCCCTGGCTTCTTGGAGATACTCGCAGCTGTCACATCAGCCCCCGATGTCCCTTCGCCGTGTTTGTTCCACGGCCGTAGGTTGGCCGACTGAGGCTGATGAGAAGTGAGCTCGAGGAGCAGGGACCTTTCGATCTCCACAGCGGTTTAGACTTCACAGACTCCGGAAGTGACCGACCAAGCAGGTGAAACGGGGAGGCCATCGGTCGTGACGTCTTCATGTGACGGCCCATGTGACCGGTTGTCCATCCTTGGCCGAAAGAAACAACGGCACCAGAGGAACCAATCCCCAAATCAGCTAAATATAGAGATCAAATCGATCTCGTTCCGTACCCATCAACAGGAAGCGATCAACTGCGAAGCCAATGGACCCAGGAGACCCTGGCCAGAGCTCAAGAGGAGAACGAGTCCTTTCGACACCTTTGTGCCTTGGTTGACGAGACCGGCGTGGACAGGCCGAGTTTCTGGAGACGGAAACGGAAAAGAAGCCACACACACACACACACCCTATAGCAGTTCCAAGAGGGGGGTGCTATCCGAAGAAGTCGGGGTGATCCAGGGTGTTCCACTCACTGGATGGTAGAAACCACTCAACTCCATGTGACTCCTCTGGCACATTTCACTTTTCGAGTGTTTTCTCCTGCAGCTTCACTGGTGGGGTGTTGGTGCTTCTCGCGACGAAGGCTGGGACCTCATCAGCTTGGGTCGAAACCTGGAAGAAGGCGTGGGCTTCCAGGCGCGGCCGGCCGGCCTCGTGAGGCCGGCCTCGTGGGGAAGGGCCGGTTCCGGCGCTGGTCAGTCGATCCGTCAGCCGTGAGGTTTTGGATGGGGGAAGTTGACTCGGGTGTTGCTTCGAATGGTGGATGGGGCAGGCTTTTCCTGATGAACAGCGTAGGAACGCCTACCATGCTGGCGAGATGAGATCACGCTTCGTTTCACTCTTGGTGTGCACCAGTTTCCTTCAAACTTCAAACCCCTTCTCTTTCTCTGGTGCAATTGATCAACATGCACCATCTACACTCAGAACCCTTCATACTGATCCCAAGAGCTCCGATGGCCTTGTACTATTGGTGGGTTGATTACCAAAGGGGATACCCCAAGTGTACAACCAAGCGGTATCTGGTCCTTGGCACCCCTCGATTCTTCCCTAGATCAGGACCTCATGGCACCAAGTCACTTTGTTTCTCTCTCTCTCTCTATTCCCGGAGGAGCCGCCAAGTCACGAGGAGCTCTTGGAGGAAGCACGCCGTTGCTTGGAGTTGGCGCGGGAGCGTCTTGAGCTGCGGGAGCGGCTCCAGGAGGCCGCGTGACGCGACGCGTCGTGCCTTTTGTGTGGGAGGGTTGAAGGAAAGCAACGGACGTCAGGGAAGGGTGGGAGGGGAAGAGTGGGTGGATGGGTGAATGGGCTGGAGAGAAGGGATGACAGGAGGGGTATAGGTATGTGTTCGATGAGATCCTTCTCAAGGGAAGAGCATTGATGGATGAGAGGTTATGGATATTGGGATTGCTGGGCAATCAGATGGAGATTCTGCAAGATTCTGCAAGATTCTGCAAGTGCGCCAGTGTGGCGATCCCGCTGTTTCTCAAAAAGTTGCTGCAGTTCTTTGCGTGGTGCCCGGATGGCCCCCCAATCAATGCACAGAATCATGCAAAAGAACAGCCTCTGAGGCTTGACCTTCACTGCCCCACCCAGGTCATTCGAAAAAACACTGATGAGGGACAGAGGGACCAACCTGTATTTTTTAAAAAATTGCTCATAATTGTAATGGCCATGAAAAATCCATTGACATTCCATCCTTTCCATGATTCTTCCCAACTTCAAGCCAGGTACCCTCAGTTCCAATCACCTCAAATCCATTCCTTCCCAAACCAACTGTGTCTCCCTGGCATCCGCCTTGTGAGCTCCGGTCAACCCCGCCCCCCACTGGCATGTCTCACCCCCTCCGCCCCACGAGCCTCCAGGCAGTGCCGGAGATGGAGGTGCCCACGCCGGAGGGCGCCAATTTGAGCCGCTCAGGTGCTGATGCTCGCGGATGATGCTCCGCGCGCGCGCGGGCGCGCGAGGGGAAGTCCAAGGACCCAGGACCCCAAAGACGCCAGACATGATGGTCTGTAGAATCGTTTTTTGGGGGATGGTCTTGAGCGAATAGAACTTTGGTGCCCAACATGCTCGTTTTTTTGTTTTTGTGATTGGAAGAGGAAAAGACCATGGAAGGGCGGCCAGCTGTTGGGTGGCTGGTCCAAAAAAGGCGGTCCCTCAGCTTCGAGGTACCTCGACGGACAGTCCTGTCTCATCGGTTTTTTGGGAGGATCTCGACGGGTGTCCAGGGTGAAACGCCTGGTTTGATGAATCATACACACGTAAACCTTCCTTTTGGGGTGTCCTGTTTGGAGATCCACCAGTTCTTTGTGGGGTTTACCTACCAGCCAGGTGCCCACGAATGGAAGGTGCTGCTTTTTTCTAGAAGTTTCAGAAATGAGAGTTTACACTTGTGGGGAGGCGCAAAACCGCCACAACCAGCAGGCTCGCTGAAGCTGGCACGAGCGCCTGCTCTAGATGTGGCACCAGGCCGAGGGAGAAGGAGCTGGGCTGGAGTTGAGGAATCTGTGCCGTCAGAAGCGATTGAAGACTGTGTGGTTTGTGTGGTCCCCAAGTTTGGAGTTTCAATTTCAGGCTTGGTAGACGTGACTTGACCCAACTTCAGTCACTGGGATCTCAAAAGGTCACTGGGAGGGTCCTGGAAACGGATTAGATGATTTTGCAGAGGAGGACCTGTTTTTTTGCTGTTCTATCTACTTCGAAGAGCACTGTTTTTAGTGGGTGATGGGGGCACGAAACTTTTACAAGGTAAAGGCCCCTGGAAATCCTGGAGGAGGACTACTCATACTATGACATGTGTGGAGTTTTGATCATGATCATTGTGAGGTCTGCAGGGTCTTCACAACCGATTTTGGGGGATGCGAAGCGGACCTTATGGTTGCCACTGCCTGGCCCCCCGCTCTCCTTCCATTCCGAACACTCGGGGTGGCCTGCCCAATCTTTGTCAAGTGTCCCCATGTTGTTTCTTTGGAGGCCTTTGAGGGAGTTTATGTTTTGAGGCTTGGCAGCCTTCCAACACCAGTGGAGATGTTAGAATCCTACAAACATGCGTCAATTGCAAGGCTACTATTTCTTCGCTCTTGGTGAACACCTCTAGGCACCACCGAGAAAAGTGTAAACAAGAACAGGATATGGCTCCACCCATCGGCAAAAGGAACGGTAGACCAAAACCTGCAGCTCAGCTGGGGGTCTTCTCTTTTTGCAGAGTTGCACATGCACACCCTAACTTCTGGGTCATGGCAACTTGATCGAAAAAGAACTGGTGCTGCGGTGTACCGACTTAGCTTGCTCTCTCGGCACGTCGAGAGAAACCTTTCCTCGTTCTTAGGACATCCGCAACGTGGACAGTTGGAGCATGGGAGCACCAGCTGCTTCTTGTGTTCGGGAAAATCACTCGTCACTCCCCAGATGGACATGGACAAGGGCCTTGCACGGGTCGAATCTGCTCCACCGTGCCGTGTGGTGACACCGTCCCGTCGCGCCAGGCTCCTGCACTCTGCCCTCGCGCAACTGGTCGCCACCACCGGAGAGGCGGGTCGGCTGGTGCGGTGCAAAGCCGAAGATCTGGTACCCCCGTTTGTAGCGGGTGAAATCGACCTGACTGCCAGAGAAGAGGGGATCGTTCCCACCATCCAACAACCACACTCCCCCCCAGCTTCCGAGCAGAACCTCGCCAGGCGCTTGACCGCCAGCTGTTCCGTCCCTGCGTTGCCATGGTCCGCCTGCTGCCCGGTGGCGCGGGCGCCGGCACCCAGCGTGCCCGTGCAGACGTGGCCGTGCCAGTGGACGCCGCAGGTGGTGAAACGACCCGCGAACATCGGGTGGTGCTACCGACACCTGGTGGTCTTGCACCCCGAAAGGAAGGGTCTGTTTCAGAGACTCTGTCAGAAGCTGATTCATTGAGCGGATCATCCGGCGGATCCTGGTTTGGAGATCTTGAAGCATCCAACTCAAGCTGGTTTGGAGGCCGAAGGTCTTTTTTCTTCCCTCCCACGCTCGCTCAAGCAGCCGGGCAGAGTGGAACGAGACGGACGGAGCGTCGACTGCGGGCGCTCGTGCGATCTGATCGCCTGGCGTCCTCTCTTCGCTCGAGACGGACGAAACGGGTTGAACCACCAGGACGGTCTGTCTTTGCGGTCCGGTCCTAGGTCGCCTCCGGTTGAGAAGCTGGGCGGATGCCAAACAGGTCGTTTCGTCCATGGCATTCATCCCACCTCACTGATTCGACTCGAACTCCTCACATTTGGACATGGCACATCCCTGGAAGTCCATGCGACGCTGTTCCAACGGCGAGCGAGCTGTTTTCGTTCAAAGCCTTAGTAAAACAAGGGTGGTTTGGTCTCTATCTTGCGATCCGTGTCACGCTTCTCTAGAACCCTTCCGCCGTATTGATGGGGGTTTCCCGAGAGAAAGGCAATGCACAAAACGGTGCAGAAGGACATGAAAGAGTGATTCAAACTCGCTCAAGTCCGGGCGATGACGCAATGAATTATGTGAATTAAAGATGTACAACACAAGCTGCATACATCTTGAATCAGCGCTGGTGGGTGACGGAAGGTCCAGCTTGACGTCCCTGATGGTTTGGTCCAGAAGGTCCAGCACAAGGGTGGTTTGGTCAAAGGGTGTCACCGGCAGGAATAGGGCCCGTTGAGAGAGAGACCAGACATGTGGGAGAAGTGACCCCCTAGTCGTGAACTGCCAGTTGTAGTGCTTTTAGAGTGGCGACAAGTAATCCCAAGGTCGGCGGTTCCGCACCTCCATCGGTCTAAAGACGTGGGTGCCAGGGCATGCCCTCCCACCGAACGCCTCCGTAACGCCGCGCCGCAGATGATGAGTCGACCTCAGAGCTGTGCAGCACAGGCGCGGCCCACCCGGCAGGAGATGGAGCGTTTCACGGAGCGTGAACACGTCGGGGAAAATCCATGCGCCAGGGATGAAAAGGAAGCTTCGTTAGGATCGAAGTTCCGAGCGCCACGTGTTAGGCTTTGTTTTTCTTGGCCCTTTTTGGGCGCCAAACATGTTCTTCAAAGCCAAAACAGAACCTCTGCTCATGGAAGGATTCTTGAGCGGTACCACACGATAGATGCAGTGTAAGATGATTGTCCAGCCTCCGGTCCGACCAGTGGGGGATCGCTGTTGTGAAGCAGTGAAGAGGGCTTGAAGCAACAGGGCGGGCGGGTGCGCGAACATGATGTATATTGGTTTTGACTTTGCCCACTTGTGAAGTGTGCAGCTAGCAGCTAGTCTATGTAGAAAAGTGGTCTGTAGGAGGCTCTGTCCCTTGTGCACGGCACCTGGCAGTGTGGTACATGTTATATGGCTGCCGTCTGCATGAAAATCCTGCCGTTTTGGAAACTTCCAAGGCCCGAAGAAGGATGGCAGGGTGCTTTCGTCCCCCAATGAGTCCAACCACCCCCATACCTCGTAAAGGAAAGTAGTCCTCCAATGGGTCCATCCACTTCCATGTGATGAGCTTCGTCAGAGTGTAACTACCAAACGCCCGAGTGATTCTCCCATGTATCGGACAGTCAAGCCTCAAGCCCCGCTGGAAAGCTCCCGGCTCAACCGGCTCAACTGGCTCAATCTGCCAGGTGTCCCGCTTCTCCTCCGAGCCACCCTATCCTTGCGAGCCGGTCACGCGGGTGCCTTCGTAGAATGCGGGAAACGTGGTGTTTGGGTGGGATGAGAAGGGGGGCGAAGCATGCGGGATCTGGAGGGGAATGATGACCACATGGTGCGCGGAACCAGGGGTTTGTCGATGACTGGAATGCAGTCATCCTCACGTAGGTGGACAAAGGCCATTCAGAAGATTACCAACTTCTTGGGATTGTCACAGATTCTGTCTACATGACTCTACATGACCTTTGGCAGCCTGAATGGGCAACTCAGCAACTCTGTGGAGCGTCGGCGATGGAGGATGCGCACCTGGTTTGGTCCAGTGCAGCCCCAGAACCAACACGCGGTTCCTGGGCCTCAAAACGCCGGCACCGTCGCACCATCTGCTGTATTTTCCGACCCTCCAGGCAACTTTATCATATTACATGCCTTTGTTGTAAGGTCTTCAATGGCACCTTCAATGTTGCTAGAACTGCGTCAGACCATTTCAGAGCACAGAACTAAGTCTTGCAGAGCTTGGTCTGCGAAACACTTCGTGCATCAAACCACCCGAGTGCCGTACGTCTGGGTACGTCTGGGGTTGGTGCTCAACAAAGAGCCATTTAGATCCATTTAGGGAAATCGTCTTGATATTGCTCTTGGAGACCTCCCTGGAGTCTTGTTCGCACCAATTCTGAATAGGTCACTACCTCTTCAAAGTGATCGAACTTGATACTCTGTTATTTCATGGCAACGGGCCTGGAAAAAGGGTAGGTCAGTTCCATGGGACTCTCAGCTGGTGCTTTACCCAACTCTCCAAGCACCGTGGGCACCCGTCGTCCAATGACCGCAGTCGGTGTCGCCACTGCGGGAGCCGGACGCGCTGGGCCCCGCTCCGCTCGCGTTGGGCCCCAGCCCGAGCCCACTGGTGCTGAGCGCCCCACCGAGCTCGATGCCACCACGGCCGGTGGCCACTGGGCTGTGATGGGGGTGCTTGGGGGCTCTGGAGGTTCTTTGGGGGGGAAAGGAGGTTCTGGAACGCGGAGGTTCTGGAACGCGGCCCGTGCGTCCGACAATCAGGTGTCCTGTCTGGAGAATCAGGTCAGTCAGGTTGTCCAGCCTCACCCGAATGGAAGGAGGGCAAGGAGGGTAGAGGGAAAGCACAGGGGTTGTGGAAGAGGATGTTTCTGTCGGGCGCAGGAGACATGGGAAGGAAGGAGTATGGCAGTTTCAGTGTTGAACAACGCCATGGGGCGCATGGCTCAAACGGATGGGGAGGATGAAACCTGGAAGAGGTCAAATTGAGTGTTTGGTGCAGGATCTGTGGGAATCAACTGCCTTCCCCACCAGCCCACCAGTAGTAGCCTATTTTCTGTTTCTGCAGTCGTCAGTCAACCTTTCAAGCTGGAAAGCTGACTGGCTGTTCCCTAGCCTTCAGTTCGACCATTAAACAACGTGTTCACCTAATTTTGTAGTGTAACATCCTCAGTAAGGCAATGGTTGTTCGGGATTTCAGGCTAGTAAACACCAATTGCGGGCTACGAATCCTAGAGTGTTGAGAGGTAAATCTCAGTCCTCTTGGAGTATGTATGGGGCTGTCGCGCATTCGAGGAGGAGACAGATCAAAACCCAGCTCCTCATGTTATATTGTGGACTCTTGATTCATAAAGCCCCCGCGATATTTGGATTGTAAGACCTCTTCAGAATGGGGGTAAACATCAGCATGAACCCCTCGGAACTTGGGCGAACGTCAAGATGTTCTGCAATTGGTGGCTGATTGTGCATGGACACAGTCGAATTCACAACACCTCGTCGCAACGCGAAAAAGAAGCGACTCTGGACACAGCATGGGGGGCGCACAATGCGAACCATTCCTTGCAATCGCCCTCCGATTCCATCTTTTGGAGAAGCTGACTAAGCTTGGTCACTTGAGAAGCCCTAGCTTCTTGAGGCCACTCCCCTGGCTGTTCCTCCAGCTGCAGCTGTGGCCCGCAGAAGGGAGGAGAGTTCGATGGGTCGATGAGTCGACGAAACTCCACGAAAGGCCTAGGCTGGTGACAGGATTTCCCAAAGCTTCTTAGTAGTTTGGGTAGAGGAGATCACACTTGACTACTGAACATCGACCACAGGTTCAAAGAAGATGGCACAACCCCTAGACCGACCAGACCACTGCAGACGGTTGGCGAACGGTCCCCTCGCAATTCTTTACCATCTACTCTCAAATCAAATAGATCAAGCAAAGCCTAACCTTTCTTTTTTCTGATGATGAAGCAACCTCCCAAACTCTCTTTACCACTTGCGGGAAGTCGTCGACAGTCCCGGGTTGATAACTGCTGTTTAGCAGTCGACCCTCCCACTAAAAGGATAGTTACAGCCACCACTGAGTTCGTGTGGTTTAAAGACCCCCCTGCCACTGTGTTTTCTCTCCAAGAACGGAAAAAAGCATCCGCTGCATGGGTCCTGACGACCCAAAAACACCCAAAGGTGACCCAAGGAGGGCCCAGTGCATCCGGTAAACACCGCGCGACCCTCCAGCAGCTCGACCGGGCGCGCGGAACGCACCGATGTTCTCGTCGGATCGCGGGACTCTTCGGCCCCAACTGTTGGGGGTTTAGAATTAGAACTAGTTGGAAAGATCTACTCAACATGGATTCGAGATCAACCCTGAAGCGGGACCCGTTCGTAGCGTCCTTGCTCCGTTCGTAGCTTCTTGCTACTAGTAAGGCCAGGGTCGCCCCGTTCGGTGCCGCGTCCGATCGCTCCGGACTCGAGTCGGTCCGCGATGCCCCGCTTGTAAACGAACGCTACGCGTCCCAGCGAGTCTTTGGTGTCGTAGCACTTGGAAGAACGCACGTCGTATCACTGGATCATTGCTTCCCAATGACCGTCCTTGAGATCGCTGAGTGACCTGGAGTTCGGATCCCAGCTGGGTTAGTTCGGTCACTGGGCACCAATCCTCAAAACTTCGGTCACACTCGTGGAGGGTTTGGAGTCCTGCTTGGGATTGTTGGAGGATGCTTCGGTGCCCCTTTGTTCTCGCCACACCTCGACGACGACGAAGTGCGAGTGTGACTTGCTCACCACTCAGGTGGCCCAGCGCCACTATCGCCAAACGTGGATTGGGCCGCTTGGCGCTGGTGGCATCCATCGGTCACCTTCGAGAAGAGAAGACGAGTGGGACCTTTGCATCATGTTTGGCATCAGCAAGTGAGTGACCTGCATACCCGACTGGTCCTCTGGTGTAACTCTGAGTAGAACACTCTTGGGTACCTGATATGATGTAAAGGAACTGGTGCATGGGTTTGAATCGGACCCAATTGGTGTATAGTAATAAATATATATATATATATATGATGTTACGCCCCCGGAATTTAAGACGACCGGGTTCGAAATCGTTTTTCGCCATAGAGTTTGGCTCACAGCTTATGCGGTGCACTGCGTGCGGCCTCCTAACCAACGGGGAGGAGGATCTGTGCACCTTTTGTAGGTGCCGCAACAAGTTTTGGGTGGTCCTTGACGACATCCCGGTGCCACTCAGAGGTTGGGCCATCAACTCGTTGCGAGTGTGGACTAGCGTGATCGCCGAGGAGTCCGACAAGTTCCACGAGGCGCAGAAAAAGCGAGAGGCCCTTGAGAGCACCGCGATATCCAAGGCAAAGAGCCCAGCTCCATCTGGAACTCCTGAGGCGGGGAGTGAGAACACAGAGAAGGCGGAAGAAGAGCCAAAGCCCGACAAAGCCTGGGTATCTACAAAGCGAGAGGAGGAAGCTTCACGGTCATCTCCTGTCGGGGAGGTACGTGTCAGAGAGGAGGCTGAGGAAGGACGATATTCGAGCTCTTCAAGGCCCATCAAGAAGGATTCAAGGCAGAGATCGAGGAGGCGAAGCCACACGAGGAGTAGAAGCAGAAACCAGAGGAAGAGGAAGAGCAAAACCAGATCAAGGTCGAGGCAGAGAAGGAGAAGGGATTCCAGAGATAAGAAGGAGAGAGAGTCAAGGCCTTCAAAGCCAGTTGAAGTGGAGAGGACCGAGCAAAGGGCTCGACCGTCAGTGAGACCACCCAAAACACCATCGAGATCACCTCCGGGGAGGCATCAACCTCCTAAGAAAGTTCCACCCATCATCCGGCCGGCTGTCAAGAAGTGGGACGGAAGGGTGCCCTCCTGGAAACTACATCCCAGGTGGTACGGTGAGAATAAAGGTGCAAAGAAGAGGGAGCGGCATTACTACCGCGCCCAGGAAGACGTGCAGTGAGGAGTGAAGGTGAGGGATGCCACCCAGGCATCGACCGGCAGCTGGAAGAGTTCGGCCGCCTCCTGGACGGGGAGGGGAAGTTCGGCGCAGGCCAGCAGCAAGAGAGGCTGGTGTTGGTGAAGCTGGTGGAGGAGCTGAAGGTGAAGTGGTGCGCCTTGCAGCTGCTGCAGCTAGTTTCGAGAGAGGAGACAAGGTAGGATGCGAAGAGGTGCCAATGGAGGTGTTCCGGAGGGGCTTGCCAATCTACCTCGAGGGCGTGTATTGGGGCGCTCGGACCTCAGTAGCGGGCCTGGTGGACAACCTCTACATCAGGACTCCCAAGGACGTCGAGTTGGAGATCAAGCCTCAGGGGACAAACGAAGAAGCGCTGTTGAGATGGTCGACAGGCCACCCAGGTCAGAAAGTCAGGATCCACCTTTGCGGGGACAAGTGTCCCGAGAGGCTAGAGGCCGAGGACTTGATACACGGGACATTGGTCCAGAAGAGGACAGGAGAAGACGATCCATGGATGGCAAACCTGATCGAAGAGGTCGTGAGGCCAGAAGGACGACGAGGAGAGCCTCTCCTGGTCGGGGAGAAAGAGGAAGGAGTGGCCAAAGAAGGTGGGGCGAAGGCCCCTGCAGGAGAGGAGAAGCTGGAGAAGAAGAAGCAAAAGAAAAAGAGGAAGAGAAGCGAAGACCGCGGAAGGAGCCCCGAGAAAAGCAGAGAGAGGATCGACCTGAAGGCAGGTGCCCGCAAAGAGCTGAAGGAGGTCTTCGGAGGAACCGGCCTGGATCCAGACCCCCGCTATCGTCGTCGATATGCCCAGAAAGCTCAAAAGAAAACCAAGAAGAAGAAGAAGGACTCCTATTCGACGGGGAGTTCAGGCAGCGACGACACAACTACGTCCGAGTCGGTGGAGGTCTTCGAGGAGCAGTAAAAAGTTCGTCGGTTGTCAAGGAGAGCACCTGGGGTTCTCGCGGCCCTGGCCATGCGGGAAATGCAGACCAGCCTGCTCACGGCAACAGGTGGGATATGGCAGCAAGATCAAACGGCGATACAGCCCTTGGCGTGCCAGTATTTCCGGCAGACGTTGGCCCCTCGTCTTCAAGGTGGACCTGGTCGAGAAGGATTGACCCTTTGCTGGGCCATCGATCTGGCCTTGCAAGGGCGGATGGCGGAATGCGTCGACGCCCTGGTGCAAAGGTTGAAGTCGGTCGAGATGGTGTCACAGGGCTCCGCGTGGCAAATAGCGCAGCGGCTCGAGGTATTGCCGCCGGAAAGACCCCTTCTTTCCTCAAGGGGGGAAGCAAAAGAGGCAATCAGAGAACAAAAAGAGGAGCAAAAAACCCGCACGGAAGCATCCAAAGGCAAAGGCAAATCGGACAGCTGGCATTGGCGAGACTTTGGCAACGAAGGAAAAGGAAAGGATGTGAAGGGCAAAGGAAAGAAGGGAAAAGACAAAGGAGATCGAGGAGAGCAGAAGAAGTGAGGTGCCAGAGATCGCCCGTGCTGGATACAGGAGGGTGTCCGCCCTCAACCTATGAGGCCCCGTTTGAAGAGGTGGGCAGTTTTTTCCCAGTGGCCTTGAGGCACGGCACTCATGTCGACGGAGCTGAACTCAGGCCAAGAGCAGGCGTCGGGCCAGGTATTCTGGCTGATCCATCGCGCCTTCAGGCAGAAGAGACCTCTTTGACGACCTCGTCTGCTGAAAAAGTTTGCATGCGGCCGCCGGTGGCTGGGGATGGTTTGGTTCAAGTTGTCCCTTGGTTGGTGAACGAGTTGGTTCTTCTTTGTCCAAAGGTAGGCTTGGACGAGCAGTGCAAGACCCAGCCCAAGGGTGATGTGTTTCCATTGCCCACCAACACGTTCTACCTAGGGGACATCATAGGCGCTGACCAGGGCGTTGTGGGAATGGTTAGAGGTATGTGCGTGGCGCTGAACTTGTTTTACGGAGTGGCGGCTGAGAATGACTTCTACCCTACTTCTCTTCAGGTTGAGGCGGTTAAGCACCTAGCTAGGGAGGCTCAAGTGGCATCAAATTGGCCCGAACGATTGGAGCAGACTTCGTGGCAGGACTTCTTTCATTTGACAACCATCGACTATTGTGGAGACGAAGTGCTCTGCGCTCAGTCCACTAGTTGGGCCAATTTGGCACCAGCTATGCCATCAGAGATAGCCTCCGTTGACCTAGCGGCAGTGTGTGAGTTGGGGTGTAGGCACTATGTCGAGAACTTCACGGAATATCTCCTTCCCAGGGAGATGCAGCGCGCCATGAAGGGGCCACGAGTTCTAGTGCATGATGAGCACTGGCGGGAGGTTTGCGAGGGTTTGACGAGGAATGGAGTGTGCACCATCATCTCTAGGAGCCAGGTCCACCATGTTGATGGCCAGCCACTTCTCAACGGCCTATTTGGAGTCAAGAAGGACGAAATGGCGGGCGACATCCCCATACACAGGCTGATCATGGATCTGAGGCCATGCAACAATGTCTGTAGAGGACTTGAAGGAGACGTTGCGACGCTTCCGAGTTGGGCCACTATGGGGCCACTTCAATTGATGCCTACCGAGGACCTGGTGGTGTCATCTGAAGATGTGCGCTGTTTTTTCTATATATTCCGGGTGCCATGTGAATGGCACCCTTTCTTGGCCTTCAACAAACCCATACCGCAAGACATGTGGCCTGGCGATGATGGACCCTACTACATTGCTTCTCAGGTGTTGCCCATGGGATTCAAGAACTCGGTCAGCCTGGCACAGCACGTTCACAGGAATCTCGTGAGGCTGTCTTCAACCCGAACGGGGGGGAGAGCTTCGGCCAGAGCAAGAAGTCCGAAAGGACAGGCCATTCTCGTCTTCGTCCACGCTTCATCGAATCTACCTCGACAACTTTGACCAGCTGGAGAAGGTGCCGAAAGGGTCCAGTGAACTCCTGAGCGGGGAGTGTAGCCCAGGCATTTTGGCGCTCAGAGCGGAGTATGAGGCTTGGGGCGTCCCCCGACACCCAAAGAAGGCGGTTTCACGAGCCCTCGTGGCAGAAGTGCAAGGAGCGATCATTGATGGTGGATTAGGCATTGCATACCCCAAGCCCGTGAAGGTCTACAAGTACACAGCCCTGTCCATCCTCTTTCTGAAGGAGGTCATGAGCAGTCAGAAACAAGCACAAGTCATTGCAGGGGGCTTGGTGTACTTGAGCATGTTCAGGCGGCCCCTCTTGGGTTGTCTGAATCACATCTGGAGGTTCATCGAGGCTTTTCGTGGGTACCCCCCGGTGATCAAGCTGCCCATACCTGACGGAGTCAAACTTGAGGTAGCCAGATTCCTCTGCTTGATCCCTCTGGCGAAGTTGGACTTTCGGTTGAACATCTCTTCAGAAGTTACCGCCAGTGATGCATCTACATCGGGAGGTGGTTTGACAGTCAGCACTGGTTTGACAGGGTTTGGGGTAGCAGCATCGGAAGCGACGACCAGAGGTGACCTTGCAGAACCCCATGACCTTCATGGGGTACTTACCATTGGGCTTTTTGACGGCATAGGAGCACTTCGTGTAGCGGCGGACGCTTGTGGTCTAGCCGTGGTAGGGCACATCAGCGTCGAGGTGAACAAAGCGGCAAGCAGAGTGCTCGAGAGCAAGTTCCCGGCCACAGTCTTCGTTGAAGGAGGTGTAGAAGCTGTCACGGAGGAGGAGGTTCAGCGATGGGCTTGCCAATTCTCTCAGGCGTCCCTGGTACTCATAGGAGCTGGACCTCCTTGTCAAGGAGTCAGTGGATTAAACGTCGACCGTCGGGGAGCATTGCGAGATCACCGCAGCTCCTTGTTCACCCATGTCGAGCGCATTCGGGACATCGTGAAGCAGAAGTTCACATGGGCTCAGGTGCGCTACCTGGCGGAAAGTGTGGCCAGCATGGACAGCCCAGACCGAATGGTCATGACGAAGTCTTTTGGAGATCTGCCAGTACAGATAGATGCTAGTGGAGTGTCTTTAGCACGCAGGCCGAGGCTGTACTGGTGTGACTGGGAGTTGCAGTCAGGTCCAGGAGTCTCGGTAGGTCCGCTTGAAGGTGCAGGTGACTCAGGCCTCCGGAAGATTGAACTCATGGCGAAGGTGACTACGGAGCGCTACCTCCAACCCGGATGCAGCAAGGCGTCAGCTGAGCCGTTCCCGACATTCACCACCTCGAGACCAAGGAGTCATGCGGGCAGGAGGCCAGCAGGTTTAGACAGGTTGAGTCCTCAGGAGAGGCTTTGGTGGGAAGAGGATTGCTTCCGCTTGCCACCATACCAGTACCAAGAGAAGCTCATGGTCGTTGACGCCACAAAGAACCCCAGACTTCCAGACATCCAAGAGAGAGAGGTGATCATGGGGTTCCCCAAGGGGTACACTGTGCAGTGCATGGCTAAGCAATGGCAAGGGTCACCTCAGCACCTGGATGAGAGGAAAACTTTGATTGGCAATTCATGGAATGTGACGGTCGTCACCTGGTTGGTTGCGCAGCTTGGTGGGCAGTTGGGTCTATGTGCTTTCCTATCACCTCAGCAAGCTGTGGACCGAACAGCTCCAGGCTCCTCCAGTGAGCTCGCAGGACTTCTTTACAGACCTCCTATGCAATCGGGGAGGAAAAGGGGCTCGCCAGACGGGGAGCAAGTGCTTGTGAGGAAGCTCCTGAACCTGGTTAGCCTAAAAGGAGAAGACATCATGTTGCAGGCGCCCTCAGAAGATACTCTTCGCTACCACCGACTGAGAGCTAGCCTCCCGGCAAAGCTTTGGAAGTGGCGGACCGTCATGGGATGGCGCTGGTCAGGGTCACCTGAGCACATCAACGTCCTCGAGTTGCGGGCAGTCCTCACCAGCATTAGGTGGCGTATCCTCAAACGACGTGCATTTCGAACGAAGATGGTGCATATGATCGACAGTCTTGTGTGCTTGCATTGTTTGGCTCGGGGCCGGAGCAGTAGCCGGAAGATGAGAAGGACCCTGAGCCGAATCGACGCTTTACTCCTAGCTTCGGGGAGTCATGGAGTATGGGCGTATGTCCATACTTCTCAAAACCCTGCGGACCGCCCATCGCGGCGGCCAGTCAAAAAGAAATGGTGAAAAAAGTCAGGAATTCACCTTGAAGGTAGGAGTAAAGCAGCCAGGCAAGCACAGAGGAGAAGACTAGGACCACTTCGAAATCTCACAGTCCAAAGCAAAACTAGAGCACGTTATGATAAAGCTATGGAGCGCTACCGAAATTTCCTGCGAGAAGAAAACCGACCTTATCCACGAGATGCGGCAGGCCAGGACTACATCCTTTCCCACTATATCGAACATCTATGGGAGACTGGCGAGGGGCGAGCACTTGCATGTGATAGCGTGGCGGCAGTGCAAGACTTCCACCCTTTCCTTCGTGGACACCTACCCAGTGCCTGGCGCCTTCTGAAGACGTGGTCGTCCAATGAGTTGCCCAACCGGGCACCCCCGCTACCTCTGGAAGCCCTCCATGTCTTGGCAGGGTATGCTCTGTTCCGCGAGCAGCCGTTGTTTGCCCTTTCTTTGCTCTTGGGATTCCACGGGCTCCTGCGCACGGGGGAGCTACTTGGAGTGCAGAAAGCGCATGTGGTCCAGTCCGGGCCTCGCAGCCCGGCCGTGATCTCCCTTGGCCTCACAAAGGGAGGAAAGAGAGCAGGAGCAGCCGAGAGTGTCACAATTCGGGAGGAGGACACCTTGAGAAGACTCTGGCAGTGGTTGAACTCGCCACACACCCCAGCAGCACTTTGTGGAACCCCTCATGCCTGGAGAAAAACGTTTAATGAGTGCCTTGTAGCCTGTCAGCTTGACAGCTATGACTTCCGGCCTTACAGCCTGAGAAGAGGCGGGGCCACCATGTATTTTGGCCGGCACGGCTCCCTGGACCGCCTCCTCATTCAGGGGAGGTGGGCCTCGAACAAAACGGCTAGAATTTACATTAATGAGGGTCTAGCTGTTTTGGCTGAACTCAAACTGGCATTTAATGGCACTGCCCAAGCCTACCAGCGCCAATTTCAGAAGTCTCTTCGTGTTCCGCTTCAAACTCTTGAGCTTCACCCCAAGGGTGGGCCAGGGGGACGTGGAAGGAATAAGAGACAGAAGCGCAAGCGCGCCAAGTGAACCTCGTTTCTTTTTGGAATTCAACACCGCCGGCGGAAGGATGAAAAAGATCAAGGGATGATCTAAACGAAGGG